TAGACAGGGACACTGGTGGACAGGGACAATAGTTGACAGGGACACTGGTGGACAGGGACAATAGTTGACAGGGACACTGGTGGACAGGGACAATGGTTGACAGGGACACTGGTGGACAGGGACTTTAGTGGACAGGAACATTGGTGGACAGGGACACTTGTTGACAGGGACACTGGTGGACAGGGACAATAGTTGACAGGGACACTGGTGGACAGGGACAATAGTTGACAGGGACTCTGGTGGACAGGGTAACCTTTATCAAAACTTTTAATAATTGAATGTTTGTGTTTGTTTTCTACTTTCTACTGAGGAAAGAAGGATTAAAGTCAATCATGAGAAGACTGAAGTGAACAGGATCTTGATGTTTATGATAATCGGAGGGAAACCTCTGAACCCCCCCTCCCACACACACACACACACACACACACACACACACACACACACACACACACACACACACACACACACACACACCTGTGTTTAAGGTGTGTGTGATCAAGGAAAGAGGACCACCATGTCGTAAAAGGAAATGATAAACATTTTTCTGTTTAGACAACCTGCAGGTGCAAACTTGTCAGTAATTATGTTTAAGAAGTTCTCTGTGATCCTTAGCTTTTCAGAGAGAGTTTTGTTGTTTGATGTTCATAATTCTGTTGCTGTGGTACAGTGGTTAGGGGAGTCGTCCTGGAACCGGAAGGTCACCGGTTCGATCCCCGTCCAGCCGTCTCAGTCCTTGTCTCCTTGGGCAAGATACTTCACCCACCTTGCCTACTGATGGTGGTCAGAGGGTCCGGTGGCGCCTGTGTATAGCAGTCTTGCCTCTGTCAGTGTGCCCCAGGGCAGCTGTGGCTACAGTGTAGTTTACCATCATCAGTGTGTGAATGTGAGTGTGAATGGGTGAATGTCTGTTAGTGTAAAGAGCTTTGGGGTCCGGAGGGACTTGATAAAGTGCTCTCTAAGTTCAGCCCATTTACCATTTATATGTTGATTTTGATTTGAAAGGTTTTACTAGTGGAGTGTAAATGCTGTTATGAAGCACCTGATTTAGTCTGGACCAGAACCAGGTTGTTTTACAGACAGAAAGTTAAGTATGTTAAGTATGATAAACTCCTCTGAGCTTCGTGTTTGAGCTGTAATGGTTTTTGCGTCCTGACAGCAGAACAATCCGTCCTGGCTCTCTGTCTCATGTCTGTAATATTTACTGAAGATTAGGAGTGATGAGGCTGTTGAATGAATGTTTTATTGTCTCTGAAGTTTCTTGGCACCCATTCACAAGCATGCAGGTCACTCCTTTTTTGGTTGTGGTTTTTCATTCCAGGGGTGTTTTAATAATTTTTTTGTTGATGGTTTCCGTGTCTGAACTGGTCCTTCGTGTCTCCAAATGAAAGCTGGCATGTTGTGGCCTCTGTAATTCAGATAATCGTTGACTCCCATAAGTCTCTGACACACCTAAAGTTTTCTGTTGTTTATGAGATGAAAAGGAACAGGTGCCTCCTCCCCACAAGCTCCCCATCCTCCTCCTCCTCCTCCTCCTCCTCCTCCTCCTCAGGACCTCATGTAACTATAAAACACCAGCTGCTCTCTGACATCCCCACTTTCTCCTCAACAGCTGAAGCTGAAACCTTCACCACTACCACCAAGATGAACTTCAAGCAGAGCAGCAGTAGGTCCATGTATGGGTCCATAGGCGGAGCTCGAATGTCCTCCGCTGCCTCCAGCATGTCGATGTACAGCGGTGGCGGTGGCGGCAGTGGAGCCAGCTACAGCTTCGGCTTTGGTGGTGGAGCAGGTGGTGGTGGTGGAGCCAGCTACGGCTTCAGCTTTGGTGGTGGAGCCGGTGGTGGAGCAGGTGGTGGAGACATGAACATCAGTGCCAACGAGAAGGCCACCATGCAGAACCTGAACGACCGACTGGCCACTTACCTGGAGAAGGTCCGCAAGCTGGAGGCGGCCAACGCTGATCTGGAGCTGAAGATCCGACAGTTCCTGGAGAAGAAGACCTCTCCTTCCTCCGCCGACTACAGCGCCTACTACGTCACCATCGCAGATCTGCAGGCAAAGGTAGGCTGAGTGATGCTGCAGGAGATGCTGAAACACCTGCATCACCTGATCTGTTTGATGACAAATTTTAGGCAAAATAAATCGGATGGAACAAACTTAAAGTGAAAATCATTTCAAAAGGAAAACAAAAGACAGGATAAAAACTAATAAGCATAAATCTAGATGAGTCAAAGAGTTGTATCAAAAACTGAATTTGGGTTTTCATCACTCCAGCTTCAAGGTATCTCTTTGGAAACATTACTGTCATCATGAGCTTTTCTAGAAGTCATATTTTCACCTCCATCACTCAGAATGACTCAAAGATCCTTTAAGTTTGATTAAAATCTACTTTTTGTCGTCCAGATCATCGAAGCCACCAAAGTCAACGGAGCCATCTACCTCAACATCGACAACGCTAAACTGGCTGCAGATGACTTCAAGCTCAAGTAAGAAAAAAATMAATCTAAATGTTTTTATTCATCATCTGTTACTAAACTTAACTTTATACATTAGATTCACATTCTTTCCATGCTCCAACCAGACYGATGAGATTACAAAATATCAAAATGAAGAAACCTATTTTCACTTTTCTGTGAACCTGCAGCAGAAACCGGTCCAGAAACTCTGCGTTTGTGTCTCCTGCAGGTACGAGAACGAACTGTCCATGCGCCAGTCTGTGGAGGCCGACATCGKRGYACTCAAGAGGCTCCTGGATGAGCTGACGCTGTCCAGGTCTGATCTGGAGATGCAGATTGAAGGTCTGAGGGAGGAGATCATCTTCCTCAAGAAGAACCACGAGGAGGTGAGACGCTCCTCAGACCAGGTCCCACAGTTTTAGTCCAAGCCCCTCCTGACAGGTAGAAGGTGAAATGTTTCCCTCCCAGAAGCAGATTTGAATTTGTTTTTTCCACATATCGTGGTTCTTTTAGCTTTAACAACTCTTAAAGACAAAAAATAACCCAAAGTGAGTTCTTTATTTAGTTTTGAGACAGTTGGTGACCCAGCTCCTCATTCATCTGTTAAAGGAGCAGGCCACCCAAACTGCTAATAACCATTAAACATTAACCGTTAGCTCCGGGGTTTGAACTGGATCTCTGTGGTTTCACCTGCAGGAACTGATGGCCATGCGCACTCAGATGAGCGGCCAGGTGAACGTGGAGGTGGACGCCGCTCCAGGAGCAGACCTCAACAAGGTCATGGAGGAGATGAGGGAGCACTACGAGGCCCTCGCCAACAAGAACCGCAAAGATCTGGAGGCCTGGTTCCAGGCAAAGGTGAGGGTTTTTAAGYGTCTTTAGCTGAACTTCAAATCCACATTTATGAATTATCTACAAATCTTTCTCTAAACTCTGAGTTTCAAGTTTCCACACATTAATATATAAATTAGAGTTGTGTTTTTAATAAAATAAAGATAATTAATGAAGACTGTAGACCCCATGTCTAATAAATGCTGACTGTGCTGCTGGTTGTCCTCACAGACAGAGTCTCTCAACAAAGAAGTCGCCGCCAGCACAGAAACCATCCAGACGTCCAAATCAGAGATCACAGACCTGAAACGGATCCTGCAGGGCCTGGAGATCGAGCTCCAGTCACAGCTCAGCATGGTGAGCCTCAGACAAACATCTTCCTGTCCACAGTCTAACCGAGACCACCAACCAATCAGGACGTCTTCTGTCCCCACAGAAAGCCGGCCTGGAGGCCACGCTGGCAGAGACACAGGGCCGCTACGCCCAGAAACTGGCAGGCTATCAGATGCAGGTCACATGTCTGGAGGAGCAGCTGATGCAGCTGAGGGCCGACCTGGAGCGGCAGGGACATGAATACCAGATCCTTCTGGACATCAAGACCAGACTGGAGATGGAGATCGCAGAGTACAGGAGGCTGCTGGATGGAGAGGCAGGCGGCAGGTGAGACAACTTCCTGTTTTTATTTTACACCTATTCATAAACAAAACGTTGATCTCAAGTCAGCTTACTCAGTTCTTGTAAGATACGTCAAAATATTTGAGTTTAATCTAAAGAAACATCTCACTGCTGCTTCTGTTCGTCCTCATAATCCAGCTATTAAAGATGTGAACAGCAGCGTCATCTGTATATTGCCAAACACAAAACAGAGATAACATAAAGGACATAACTGCATTATTACTTTTTCAAAACATTTAAAGTCTCCTAAAAGTTCACATCGATGTAGTTTAACGTGGCAGTTTTTACTGTTCAAAAGATGAGCGTGTCGTCTGCATAAAGTCGAACACCAAACAAGAAATGAGTTAATTTAATGGAAGAGTGTATGGAAATGAAACAAAGATGCATACKACATACCTTTATCTGGTGTTTACAGATGATTCTATAAGATTTGCTTATGTTAGGAAAATCTCTTATCACAAAATAAGTCTCCTAAACTTTTACTGAAGCTAAACTTTCACATTTCAACGCAATCAGAGCTGCTTCAGCAGTGTGTGCATCTAGTCAGTAATCCAACATTTTGTTTTTGTTTGCAGCAAGACCTCCTCTACCAAGACCTCCTCCTCTACCAAGACCACCTCCTCTGCCTCTTCGTCCTCCTCGTCCAACACCAAGACCTCCACCACCACCAAGAAACAGATCGTCATCGTCGAGGAGGTGGTGGACGGAAAGGTGGTGAGCACCTCCAAACAAGAGGTCACACTCTGAGCTCCAGCAGGAGCCGTGGCAGAAATATTCTGCTGAGGAGTTTTAGAAATAAAAAATAAAAACAAAAATGATCTGTTCTGTGTGTCTGTTATTCCTCCGGTCACCACAGGGTGGCGCTCTAAAAAGAATGAACTCAATGAAAAATAAATGGGGTGGGTGCGTGCATGCGTGCGCGCGTGCGCGTGTGTGTGTGTGTGTATGTGTGCGCAGGGCGGGGGTGTCTGCTGCAGATAACAGAGCAGGCAGGAGGGGGAGAGGACAAAGAGAAGAGAGGTGGACTTATTTCTAATTTTATCTGACATTTAATTTAATTTTTATTGTTTTTATTGTCATGCAGGCTCTGATGGAAAATTTATTTGAAGCTGAGTTTTTTTAATAAAAATTGTTAGATTACTCTAATACAAAATGAGGGAAAATCTGTGTCAATTACAGACATTCTGTTCACGTGAGCAGCTGTCAGCACCTCCAGACGTACGAC